AAAATTTGTTTTTTAATCATGTAAAAACTGCACAACATTTAAATGTACGAGACACGAGTCAATGGGAGGGGTCCGGACCCCATGGACCCCCCCCCCCCGTAAATACGCCACTGGTGTTTGCCAAATATATGGTATGGACTATTTAAAATATCCTTTCGCAAATTATATTCAATTTATAATATGTACCACTTTACCTGGTTGTGGCTTAGATTGTCTACATTGAATGATTTCTGTTAATTGTTATAAATAATTGTTTTTTGAGTACCTACCTATTTCTTTTTTTTATCATACCCAAATTGTTCGATAATTCAAGTAATACGGCCTATTTAAATAGTTTAGGTACAGCAAAACTACCTATTATAAAAGTTTTAGAGAAGAATTTTTTCAACAATTGAAATAAGCTCGATTTTTTATATTTTTATTAATAAGTTAAATAATTAATCGATAAAAAGTAAAAAAAAAAAATGTTAATTTACCATGCGATATTGGATGATTAGAATACGATATCAAAAATCGGATTTATTACGATTGTTAAAAAAATTCTCCTCTACCACTTTTATAATAGGTATTTTTACTGTAAACCTCTTCAATAAGCCGTATTAATTGAAGAACAAAAGTAGTTTTTATTTGTATAAAATTCGGATAAGAAGAGTTTGGCCTAGTGAACAAAATATGGTTTCGTAATTCAAGTAATACGGCTTATTGAAGCAGTTTACAGTAAAAATACCTATTATAAAAGTTGGAGAGAAGCATTTTTTTAATAATCGAAATAAGCCCGATTTTTTATATTTTTATTAATGAGTTAAATAATTAATCGATAAAAAGTAAAAAAAAAAAATTGTTAATTTATCATGCGATATTGGACGATTGGAATACGATATCAAAAATCGGATTCCTTACGATTGTTAAAAAAATTCTCCTCTACAATTTTTATAATAGGTATTTTTATTGCAAACCGCTTCAATAAGCCGTATTACACTATTACCTACTTGAAGAACAAAAGTATAGTTTTTATTTGTATAAAATTCGGATACGAATACAAAATATAAAATCGAACCAAATTAAATATTATTTGTCACAAATATAATAATCATTTTCTTATCTGGTTATTTATAAACTATGCACGGGCGGTCGGCTGCGATAGAGAACCTGTTTTGACCATGGTGCGGTACCGCCGTTAATGCGCGCGGGGTGGTGGTATGCACAGCTAGTATCGAACGCTGCCACTGACTACGGGCGCAGCACTTGCCGAGCGTAATTTTCTGCAGTTTTCTTATAAAACATACTTTGCGCGTTCCAATAATATGGGTTACTGAGTGGTTTAATCGTAAAAACACCTATGAACAAAATTGTAGAGGAGAATTTTATCTGGTTCCGTGAGAAGCCCGATTTTTGATATCTTTAAAACATCATGAAATATATCATGATTAATAATACACTTTTTTTTCATTTTCCGGAAGTTAATTTTAGGACTTAGAAATGAAAATTTCAAAAATCGGGCTTCTTACGGAACCAGATAAAATTCTCCTCTACAATTTTGTTCATAGGTGTTTTTATGATAAAACCACTCAGTAACCCATATTATTGGAACGCGCAAACATGTTTTTAAAGGAATTTTTCGAGTGATTTTTTTGGGTGACACGTCCTCTTAAAGACCATTTTTTAACAATATGGGGTTTTAATTTTGTCAACATGTTTTGATAATGGTTTGTAACAATGTTTCACTGTTATCATTGTGAATATATTTTAAGTAACATATAGTTGCGATGTTCAGTGCTATATTTTCAAAACATTTTTGAGAACATTATTAACAATTTTGTATATTTATATTAAACCGAATATTTGGTATACCTACTTGTTTAACAATTTAATTCAGTGACATGTTTAACAATATGTTAATATTTATTAATTCACAATTGTTAAAATGAGAGTCAATCAAAAAGACAAAAATTACTATCAATCTTAGGAAAAAAATGTTTTACATAATACATATTCCTAGTAAATATATTCAGAAACAAAATAAATCATATTTAAATTATATTATAGGTCATAATATAATAGATTAATAATTAATTAAAATATAAAAATGTTATATTTAATAATGCCTATATTATGTATATGTAATGCAGTAGGTAACTGAAAACATTTCTTTTTATTAATAAATAAACACAGATAGACAAAAGTTTTATTATAAAAAGTTATATTATCAAAAGAACATAATATTATACATAAAGTAATATAGGTAATAAAACAGAAAACTACTAAAAGTAGCTGTGTACAAAAGTAAAAAATAAATTATAATACTGTTTTTCATTGATATTTTAAAATAATTATAAATAATATATAATAATATAAATTATATAAAGTAAAATAAAATTATACTGATGTTTCTTACTTAAACATAATATAATATTTTATTATATAATACTGAAGAATATAATAGAATAATAACATAATTTACACGACATATTATATATTGATAATAATAATCATTTAGTAATAATAACATAAAATAATACTTAGTTAAATAAACCATGGATAAATTTTATTGTGAATCTTGTTGAGGATTTTTAGCTGATAATTTTTTGATTCTATTAGAAGCTTGTGCCATCCAATTTTTTAATGGTTTTTCTATTTCAATGTTAGGGAGATTTTGTGAAGAAAATGGTTTCATTTGGCGAATAGTTTCTAAACAAACAAAAAACAAATCATTTGTTATTTTTCATTGACCGTATATCTATATTTATTAATCCATTTACAGGCTTAAATACCTATACCATCTATCAATAAGTATTTGAGACGTTTAAATACTAGGTACCTATATATTAATGTATATTGAATACATTTTTTCTACTTTTAAACATATTATATACTTTACATAACATATATTATATATTTACTAAACATATTTCGTATTTTTGTTAAATTTAACCACAACTACTAAAATCTTTATAATAGGTAATATATTATCTGCTGCTGATAATATGAGTGATAGGTACTAATCTTGAAGAAACATTTATATGATTGGAATTGATACATAATAATTTTAATTAATGTTAAATAATAAAACTTTAATTTCTGAAATGTGATCATTTTGGTAATTGTTTTAAATTTAAATATACTTGTAATTATAGTTAATAATTATAAATATTAAATATTGTTAGTTAAGAAATAATAAGGTATAAAAACAATTTATTATTGTTTAAACAACCTATATGTATATATATTTACCTTCTATATTATACTAAATATTCATTTTATCTCAACTTTGCAAATAATTTGAATTTAGTTGTCAATACCCTCAAAGCTTAACTAATATTTGTAAATAGCAAAAGTTTTATAAAAAATATATGTATTATTAATAATTTTGTACCTAATTGACAACCAAAATTTTTAAAATTTGACAAAATATAGTTTTTAAGTTATTTTTACAATACTGGTGATAATAGTATTTATATAATGATGTTTATAAGTTATAACATTTAATATGAATCGGTTTGCTAATCATTTTAATAAGTAATTGGAAATTTTTACTATTGATTCCCTAAAGTAAAAACTTCTAATTTGTTAACAAAAACCTCCATCAAAATCAAAGATTCGAGCCTTTTTTTTTCTACTTAAAACTTGTGTTATGAAGTTTTATATAAATTTCAATGATTTTAATCATTGCACTGAAAAAATCTAAAAAGTGATAATAATGAGTATTAAGTAATTTGCTTGAATAGTGAGCTACAATAAAAATAGTGAGAAAGGCAAGTGAGTGAAAAGTCTGTATATCTATTAAGACATGAGCGGAAAAGTTCATTACCAATAATTGTATTAATAAAAAATTGGTTAACTTTTATAAATGACTAATAATAACTATGTAGATAGTTATTATGTATGGAGTATTAAATTGATTAAAATTGCATTAAAAATATTTACCAATTATCACGGAGCAAGTTTGGAGTGTAGAAAAATTTTCTTTTCCTTTGAATCCTATGTAGGAGTAGTTAGTTAGAAAATTATCAGTGAATAATGTTTGCATAATTTATCTTATAGTTTCAGACAAATTCTGTCCTCTGTAACGAGCTAGTTCTTTAATCTACATACAAAATAAAATTCAGTAATTATAATCTTATATAATTTGAAAGTAATGTAATTTGCTATTAATACCAATTTTTTTTATATGTTGTATCGTTTAATAATTTGCCTTCGAGATCATTTAAATCAGTCGCAGTATCCACACGAGTTATAGTGTTATCAAATGAATCTTCGGTAATATCGGCAGGTACACATCCTTGTAATCTTTCATTAATTTTTTCTTGCATACACATAATAATATCAAGACGATCTTGTATATTTTTTACTTCATGTTTGAGAACAATATGTTGTCTGCTAACCAATTTTTGAAAGTCTGGAAAAAATAAATACATTAAAATGTAATTAAAAATTTCTGATATATTTGTATTTTTTAAAACTTTGAATGTACCTATATATAATATACATTTATACATTCAAAGTAGGTACAGTAAAACCTCTCTATAAAGGACTCGCTTGGGCTGACAAATTTTTCCGTTATAGGGAGGCTAAAATATACGCGATAAGTTATTCAAGGACGTTGTTATTTTCTTTTAGGGAGATTTCCGTCTTATGGGGAGTCCGTTTTAAGGTAGTTTTACTGTACCTACTAAGATACAATTAAAACCATCTTGAATTGACATGTAAAATTAAATCATTTATACAAAAATCTATAAAATACATTTTGTAAATTTTTTTTTTTACGTTTTATGAAGATTATTATCTAAATTATGGAATTTGTTAATACCTTTAAATTGATTTTCGTAATCAAGTTTTTTCCCTGACAATGTTTTAGATGTTGATGGGAGTTCATCAACTGGATCAAACTTAAGTCTTTTATTATTTGTATCAGACAATTGAGAACTAATTGGAGTTGAATAACCATCTGATTTACTTTCATAATTATTTGGTGGCGATAACGACACTTCAAATAATTTATTTTACATTTTTGGGTTATATGATTTGTCCACATCTGAATCATCTCCATCAAATTCTGTAATTTAATTATTTATAATTAACAAATAATAAATATAATATTTCTACGGTTATATAACATTATAATAATACTTTATTTATTAATTTAGAACTTTTTTAAATTGTACACTCCAGATAGTGATTAGCCATAACATTTTTACTATTAATATAAATTATAAGATGGATAAGGTTAAGGCTTGGGAAATGAAAAAAAAAATTGCAGTTGCACTTAGATTAAATATTTTATTTATTTTTTTTTGTCATAGTCATTGGTCATGGTTGGCTTGATGAAGAAGCTATTCATTATTAGCACTTCATGATGGAATGGAGATTATAAATATAAAATTTAAAATACTAGGTATATTGTTTCACTTTCAATATCTGTATAAGATTATATATATTAAAACAATATAATATTTAATAATTGTATATTATGAAATCTTTATAATGGATTTTTTTCTTACCATCACAACTCAAACTAAATAAAGGTGGACTTGGTGGTTTAAAATTGTTTAAATAACGTTTTTGCTGTGTGGATGTGTGATTTTTCTTTTCAATTATATTTTTATGGTCTGTCGATAAGTCTGATGTTACTAGTGCTTTTCTAGCTTTTAATCGAGCTACTTCAATTTCAGCTAAAATGAAATTATAAAAAAATATTAATTAATGTAAATCCATAGAATTATTAAATTATACATAATTATATTACCTATACTTACCAATATCTTGACTCATTATACGTGCATTATAATAAATAAATGCATCTGGGTTTTCAGCCGGGTCTACTCTTTTTTCAATGTAGCTACGCACGTTAGCTCTTTTTTTTGGCCAAGCACAAACTCCTTTGTCCATCCAAAAGTTTGGAATGAAATCTACTGAGTCGTCAATTTCAAAGCAAACAACACTCCACATATTACTGAAATGAATTGCTTTATTACAACATAATATATAATCATACAAAACACATAGATATGTTTGTATAGAAAGAGAGACAGGAAAACATATTCATACATAAATGTAGATATTTAAAATGTTATATATTAGGGAAAGTGCTAATTGTAAATATTATATAGGTAGACCCATCATAACTCAATTTGTTTTATCTAGGTACAAACTACCTATAAAAGTTTAAAAATTTGATAAACTAACAGATTTTTTAAAACAGTATCATATTAATTATATTATTATATAAAAATTATACCTATACAGACTATAGGTACCTAGGTACCAGGATACATAATTAATTATATTAAATAATAATAAATATTAAAATTAAAATAATAAGTTATAGATAGGTAGATACTATATTATATACTAAATAATTAAATTAAAAACTTTTAAAAAAAAGGTAGGTAATAGGTAAGGTACTTGTAATAATAATAATAATTATTATTAATATTATGTAGATACATCAATACATGTATCAACACATACATCAATGCATCATAATTAAATCAACGTATTGACTTAATTATGATGAAGTATAGGTACCGCAGTAAGTTTGTCATTCAAATCAAATACAAGCATTTTATTTTTAATATCTGAAATATTCCACTGTTTTAAATGTTCTGATAATTTGTTTATAATAAATATATTTAATATAGATGACTTTAGAGGTTTAATAAAAAGATCTTCTTTTTCTTCAAATATTTTACCAATAAAAACTGTAGTTTTATCAGAAGATTTTTTTAATTCAGTTATTTGTACAATTTCATTAGAGTTGGTGAGAACAAAACAATCGGGTTTTTGATTTGAATACTTTAATTCACTATGGATGATTGGTTAAATTGATTCATTTTTGCATAGTTCATTATATCACCTAATCACTTGCTGTAAAGGTTTTTCATTTTTATGCAACATTTTATTTAAGACTTTCATGTAGTTCTCAAAAGGACGAGTGCTACACGTGTCGAGAGGTCCATGCCTTTCATAATCATCACACAAATGAAGAATTCCATATACATTATAGGATATAAAATGAGGGCCATAGATATACTGGATTGATTTGACAAAATATTTTAATAAATTACGAGTATAATGTAGAAGTTGATGGTTATTATCACGTAATATGGACGATTCCCATTCAACTGCGTGCCCATAAGTGTCTGATGGAATTTGGGTAGTCAAAGCCACGGGTGAAGTATTAACAACAGTTTTATTTATATTCTCAATGACTCTTGGACTTGTACTATTTTCTCTTGTTAATACACAATCATGATCACTGATGTCACTGAGGTTATCAAATAATTGTTCACCTATATCCAAACTGTGCACAATTGGTTGATCTGTTTGACTGAAAACAGTGAGATGATCATTATTAAACTCATCTCGTTTTGAATGTAATACAACACCCTGTTGGCACTGTATATTTAATGACAAACAATTTTGTTCGTTTTCACCATAACTTTTGCCTAAAATTTTATTATTGTTTCTCAAGAATGCTAGACGTTTTCCTTTCTTCCTCCAAATTTCTGGAGTATTTAAATGCAGGTTGTCCTCGTCACAATCAGCTTATATTTTTATGGCACATATACGTCTAGGTATTTGTAATTCAACCTGTCTAAAGCATTGAGCTTCATATTGGGTTATATTTTCAATGAACCTACCACATTTCATTCTTCTTTTGCCTGCTAAAATATGATTTTTCACTAAATTAAACCAACTTTCTACTGATGCATTACTCTGGCGTTCTTCCAGATGAACAAGAGTAGTCATAATTTTTGTCCACAGAGGTATGTATGGCACATTTTCAATAAGGAAATGTAGCAAGTACTCTTCTGAATACATACTATTAACATCTAGGTGATTATGATTCTGTGAGGAAATACTTACTATTTTTTTCACACTGTCAAATATCTGTTTAAAATCATGATAAAATGCAGATTTCTTTCGTTCGGCATAATACGAGGTATCAGTGGTTTTACCACAAGAGTAATTTTGATCGTCACTTTTCAATTTCATACTCAACTAATCCATAGTTTGTTTTTAGGTATGATTTAATTTCCATACTTGCTGCTTTACACATTTCTGTTGACTTGTCTTACAAGATTATAGTCGACAGCAATTCAAACCAATGTTTGATTTCTTCATAATTGTTCATTTCAAACACTAATCCAACACATCTGGCTATGTAAAACGCTGTTTTTTCATCATCTGGATAATACCGTTTTATATGGATCAAAATATTTTTAACATAATGGTTTGTACAAGAAGTAATAACTACTGTGCTAGAAGACAATGTTTCTCTTCCAGTTAATATTCTATGACACATATCCAGATATTAAAATATTGTTTCCTTACTATTCCATGCTTTAGAAATACCATGCATAAAAGCAGGGGTGTATTGGAGCGTATACGGGAGTATACGGCGTATACTCATAACAATATTTATAAAGAAATGCGTATACATGAAAAAAATATCCATTTTATAGGTATACGGTGGGTAAATGTTGAGTATACGGTGGATGGTGACAAATGGAAAAGGGTATACTATTTTATTAATTGTTTTTGAAAATTTAAAATTGGAGTTTTAAATTCTGTGGTTTAAAATTAAAAATAATATTTTACGATTGAATATTACTTATCAGGTCGTATACGGTATGCAGTATAATCGAAGATTGTGGTTATTGTTACGGCTGTTATTGATAGTACTATTTACATTCTACAACCGCCGAGGTTACCCGTGGCCGAACGGCGAACGCTCGAAAAACATACAATGTTATCATAAACAAGCTATAAATAGACTATAGTGCTGAATAATATGTATACATTGAATATGACAATATTTACATATGATACGTATGATAACAGCAAATCTAGTATATTCCGTATTCGTTTAGTGTTATATTTCGTTTTAATTTATTATAAACTAATCGTACGTAACTATAAAGTAAAAGTAAAATATGTTGTTTAAAAATGTAAAATTAACTAGTTATTCGAGAATTGTTTCTATTAATAGTAATCAGTTCATAACAAGTATCTGTGTTAATTTAAATTCAAGATTATTAGATAAAAATGAGACTGATAGTTCAATTCTTCAAGATATCTGTATTCTTGATAAAGCTACTTGGCCTCAATCGGTTGGTGTAAGGTATGGTGAAGACCAAGTGAAACGTATATGTGACCGATTTTTTTTTGAATAAAAATAACGCAATTCAAGGTTTCAGAGAATTTGTAGAAGAAGATAAAAGTTCCAGAACATTGATCTTAGAAATGCATAATTGTGTTCAAACATTTCCGTGTTCTACAGCCGAGGGTGAAAGGGGCTTTAGCCTTTTAAATATTATTTGTAATGATCTTCGAACAAGATTAACTGTTGAACATATTTCCGAATTGATGTTTATTAAAATAAATGGACCTCCATTACAGCTTTGGAAACCAGAAATCTATGTAAAGTCATGGCTAGTGCGTCATAAATCGGCGGACGATACGAGATGCAAAAAAATTCAAAAAAATATTGAAACTCAAAGTATTTGGAATATTTTGTAACGTAATATTTGAACAATAAAAATTTTAACATATTTATGAGTTTTATATTTTTTTAAATTGTTGGTTGATACTGAAAATTAAGTAAGAAAAGCGATAAGTATGTTTTATTTCTATGTATAAAATTTATCGAGCGGAGCGAGAAAATTTTATTTGAGATACAATTTAAAAAATATGGCGTATACTCAAGACATTATTTACCAATACATCCCTGCATAAAAGCCCAACTGAAATCAATTACAACATTTTTTGAAAGGCGGCCAGATACTTGGATCTTTTGCAATTACTAGATCTTTGAAACATTTCAACCATTTTGTTACAGTTTCTCTATCATGTGTTGCACTGACCATATCAGTTATTGGGCATACGGTTTCAATTTTACCTATACGCACTACACAAGCATAATAATAAATAGTTAGTTTTGTTGAGTTCTGAGGAGGCCTAACAACTGATCCTGTTGAATCCACATGAATAGTTGTTAGCACCCCTTGTTTAAATACATTTTGAACTATTGCCAACTGCTGTTGGCTTGCCCATGTTACATTGAATGGCTCTTTTATACTTTTGGGAACTATCATATTCAACCAAGGATTATATTCGGCCATTAAGACTACATCAAAGTGATCATTTCGGTTGAAATCCCCTTTTAACTGTTGTTCACTATTCAGTTTCCTTAACATCGAAGGAGATTTAATTGTTTGCAAATTTCCACATTCCATTAATTTAATAGGTGAAACTGATAATACACATTCCTGTCTATACTTAAAAGCACTTTTTTCTTTAATTTTTTTTGCAATAATTTTTCGTTCAGCTCCCCTAATTTAAGTAGTGTATCGAGCATCTGGTTTATGATTAAAGTTTTTACTTGTACTGTAAACTTTAACAACTGCTTCTACACCAGTAGGCAAAATGTATAGTTTGAACTTCTTACAGCCACCATGTTTACAATACATATTCAGCTTCATTGATTTTTCAGTCTTAATGTATTCTAGCTTTTTAATAAACAATATACAAGTGTTATTCGCTTCTTGAAGATGTTTCCTGATAACACCAGGATATCTGAAATATAACAATAAACCAATAGTATAGTTACCTACTGAGTAAAGGCTTATAATTTTACATTACATTACACTAAAATAAAAATCAATTGTTTTTTAGTTTACTATTGATAAATTCTATTTACATATCTACTTAAATTATGTAAAATGTTCATGTTTGTATTCTCTAATATTATAAAAAATTCATGCATA